CAGGAATCAGTCTGGTTGCAGCCCCCAGCGGCCAAGGGCGGGGGCACCACACGGGCCCCTGGTCACTAGGCTGGGGATGCTTGCACAGGGTAGCACGTGGTCAGAGGAGCCTGTGGCTGTGCGAGTGGGAGTCGGGGACAGGCTGTTTCCTGTGTGTGGAAATGCAGTTGTGCCAGAGTTGGCTCTACGGTATGCAGTCCACAGGTCCAGGGTCAGTGCAACCTGTCCCCTGAACCTACGGCCTCGGGACCCGAGGAGAACCCTGTCCCAAGCAGGTGTGGCAGAAGTGTTTCCTGAAAGGCCAGTCCCAGTCCTGTCACAGGTGCTGATGGAGCAGAACCCTGAGGGCGGCAGGGCCGGGGGCCACCTGGAGCCGGACGCTTGGCCAGGTCGCTAGGCCGCTGGTGCTCCAGGACTGCTGGGCTCTCCCTGCAGTGGCCAGGGTCAAAGGCCAAAGTGCGACAAAGGTGGTAGCGAGTCCCTCTTAGGCAGGACTGTTTCAGGATGGGCGGGAGCTGCTCTGATTTATGGGTTTGGGGTCAGGAGGACACGGTGATGCCTTATCTTTCTGGATGGACGGTGTTGATGACATTTCTTCACGTGGGGACGACAGCGAACTGTCAGCAGTGTGATGACTGCATCCTGTCTCCATGCCCCATTTAAAGGGCAGGTGCACGTGTGTGAGTGTGTGCACAGGTGCATGTGAGAGACTGCAGGAGCATGTGCACGTGTGGCTGTGTGTGAGCAGCGGCTCCTGGGTGGAAACGGGCCGCCCGCCCTGCCCACCAGCCTGTGGCCCCAGCAGTCCCCGCATCTCGGCTTCCTCTCTGGCCACACGCCTTGTGCAGCCTTTCTCAGGAAACCAGTGGACATCAGACCGCACCCTATCCGCAAAGCCGCTGATTCCCAGACCTCCATCCAGAGCACGCCCGGCTCCCTCCTTCCCGGGGACCCCTTGGCCCAGGTCTGCGTGGCGTCTTGGGGGCCCGGGTGGATGGTGCCAGGCCTGCAGTGGGTCTGCCCTGGTACCCAAGGGCCCTGGGAGGCCTGATAGAGAATGTTCCGTGGAAGGGGGTCCGAGGGCCGGGGCTTTAGGCTCATTTGCCAGAAGCGGCGCTGCCTCAGAGGTCTGGGTCCATGGAAACACACGCTTCTGACTCCTTGTACTGTCTGTGCCTCACCTGACAGCTCAGCAGGGGCACCCAGGAGCCGTGAGGCATCTTAGATGAGAGTCCAAGGCGGTGAGCCTCTGGAGCTGCTCCTCCCTGCCTGGGGCTGCCTGGACTGCAGCCCTCCTGGGCTCCGGCACCGCCTCTGCCTCCGTGGTACTTAGCTCCCTCTGCTCCAGCCCTACTGGCCTCTGCCTGTCCTGAAGCTCCGCAGGGATGCTCGTGCCCCAGGGCCTTTGCCCAGCTCCTAGGTTGCCATCAGCCTTTGTCCGTGAGGCATCCCATCCCCCTGCAGCCCCCCAGCCCCGTGGACCTGCTCCGCTGCCTTTTCCATAGCATTTATGACTCTGGATAAGTTGATAAAACACGTATATCAACTTCCTCGTTCCTCAGAGGCCTTCCCACATCTGATCGTTACCTGCCAGAGGGCAGGGTTTTTGTCCCAGCACTGCCTCCCTGTCTGAAGCTAGCTGGGCCCGTAGCAGTGCTGAGCACGTGAGTGGAGCATGGTGGGGCAGCTTCGGGCGCAGTGCCTGGGCTTTTTAATGTTTACTCATGAGCCTTGGTGACTCACGTGTGTTAAGGTTTAGCATAAACCATGATATACCTGATAATTGAATATCTTCTAAGAGAAAAGTACATCTTGAAATATTTTAGGACCTAAAGATGCCAAAGATTTTGTGCCTGGAATGATCTAGAAAGGTTTAAAAATAGACTCAACTGAGCTGGACACTGATTGAGCCCACAGAGAGCCTGTGGGGCTCCAGGTGGGCCCCTGGCCTGCTCTGCCAGCCCCCCCAGCCCGCTGTTTTTCCCTGTAAAGCTGACTATAAACAGCTAAACTGGTCGGGCCGCTTTTCCTAAGAAAAGTGCCTGGTGCCCTCCCTCTTCCTCTGATCCCGGGTCCCTTATCTGAGTGCCCTCACCTGCCCTTTTCTGTAGATCCCATGCTTCCCTCCTAGGGCCTGTACAGTCCCTGGCTGGTGAGGATGCCAGCTGGCACTTGCCACCTTCTGGAGTTTCTTGAGCCTAAGGGGATAGAGTGTCTCGGACAGGATTACCTCTCAGGACACTTAGCCCCATGCACCCGAGTCATAGTAAGAGATGCTACCTGCCCCCTGCCACGGTGAGCGCTAAGAACAGCTAACACACGTGGGTGCGGCCAGGCACCGGGCCCTCTTCTCAGCACTTTAGGTGAGAATCCTTTCATTCTCACGTGTCCCCATTTTACAGAGAAGGTAACTCAGCACAGAGATGCTAGGCATTTGCCCAAGGTCACACAGCTGGGAAGCGCCAGGGCCCAGTTCCAGCCTTGGCTTCTACTCTGGATCCACTGTCAGTCCTGGTCAACAGTGGGGACTGCTGTTTGGCCGGAGTGAGGAAAGGTGGGCTTGTGAGCCAGGCTCGACTTCGGGTCAGAAGAGATGAAAAGGTAGGAGGCTGCTGGGGAGGAGGGTTCCTCCTGTGAGCATCCCCGGGTAGCTGCCAGAGCTGCAGTGGTGGACAGACGGTCAGCACATGGGACACACACACCAGGTTCCCTCCCAGGCTGGTGTCCTGGTGACGTGCTGGCCACTGCGGGTGTGCAGACAAGGGTCAAAGGTCACATTGTACTGGATCAAGTAAATTATAATTGAGCAGCGCCTCATCTGAGCAGCAGGAACTTTGGGGCTAAAGTAACTAGGATATACTTGCAGTTTTGTTTGAAATTATTGTGTTATTGAAATAAACTAGTAAGGGACTTCTCTGGCTGTCCAGTGATTGAGACTCTGCGATTCCACTGCAGGGGGCATGGGTTAGATCCCTGGTCGGGGAGCTGACATCCTGCATGCTGTGTGGTGTGGCCAGAAACAAAAAACAAACAGGCAAAAACCCAATAAGAAATAGTTACAAATGGAAATTTAATTATTAACCTGGATCATTCAGTGGAAACAATTATTGTTCTAATAGAAACGTGACCTGCTATTGATAAGTCTGTAGGACCTGCCATTCTTCTAGACAAATAACCCTGGAGTGGCAGCTGCGTAGCCTTACAGAGCTTGTAAAAAATCGACGAGGAGCTGTGTATCGACGAGGAGCTATGTTGGTTTGTGTCCAACTTTGTTTCCAAAGTGATAGGAATCTAATTTTACTTAAACTTTTTGTGTGTGTCAGGCTAGACTGGGAGAAATGCTAGCCATTATGGGTGATACAGTTTTATTTGTGATCCACAGGGTCAGAGTAACTACAGATTGTCTGTAGGGGGGGTTGTCTGTAGGGGGCTGCTGATGGGTCGCCCTTGGGCTAAATTTGGCCCACAGATATTTTTTGACTTGTCCAGTGAGGTTTTCTTTTCCTTTTCAAATTGTAGTCAACATTTTAAATCAGGAGATTTCACACGAGAATATCCAAGCTTCTGGCGTATCCCTGAGTGATGTCGCCTGTGTGCTGTGATCAGGACTGTGGCCTCCAGGTGATCGGGGCGCTTGGGTGCCACCCGCCCACCGCCTTGTGGAGCTTCGAGAACACGATCTTGAAACGTCAAGCTGCCGGACGAATTTCCCATTTCTGTGGAGTCAGAAGACAGATTTTTTTCTATATGAGCAAAGCCATTGGGGGTTGCCTGGGTTGGGTAGGGTGCCTGAGAAGTGGCTACCTTCAGGATATGCCTGTTTTGACTGAAATTGGAAAACTGTTCTAGAAATGTCTAGTGGGGTGTGTGGACATGCAGAGGGGGAGGGTACTTACCCAGCGTCCACCCGTCAGTCGCCGTGCTCCCCTCCGTCGCCCCCGCGGGATTTGGGGCAGGTGTGGACCTGCCATCACGGGCCACGGCAGGTGGCAGGTGCTCGAGACCGTGGTTTGTTGTCTTGGTGGCAAGGTCTCGGGCACACGTCTCGGAGTGGAGTACTTTGTGACATTTATGCTGTAGGCGAAAACGTGTAATGCTTGAAGAGAGATCGAAAACCCGTCTATAAAAAAAAAAACAAAAAACCCGTCTATAGGTTTAGTCCTCAAAATGCCTCTCTCTCGTTGGAAGTCCAAATTCTTCCCTTCTTGTGAAGCCACTTAAGTGTGCCCCTCTCCTTGTGGCCTTTTCCTGTTCGGAATAGGCATCGCGGGTGGCGGTGATGTCACATAATCCAGCCCCGAAGATCCTTTCACCTAAGGCCTCACATGGAGGCGCCCAGGGAAGGCCGCTGAGTGGGGAGGCAGCGGGTGCGGGGGCGGCTCACCCAGCCAGGCACAAGCCCCGCCCGCTGGCATCTGTCCTGGCTCGTCAGCGACCAGCAGGTCCCCCGCCTCGGTGCCTTTGCTCACTCGTCTGTTCGTCGACCTGCCCCAGCAGGCCGTGGGGTTCTGTCCGTGGGGAGCGGTAGCTGGCGCGCGGGTGTCTCTGAGACCAGCCGGGCCTGTGGGCCCCCCGCTGCCTCCCAAGGGGACCTCCACCCGTGACCCCTCCCCTCCTCCCCGATCACGTCCAAAACCTGTCGTCTGCTGGGCCTGGGACGCCGCTCCCCCAGGTGCCGGGACAGTGTGGTCACTAAGTGATCGTGATGTGACTCGAGCGTGTGGGGTCTCTCGTGGCGCCGGCCGGCTCTCCCGACTCTCACTGTCAAACCAGAGCAGGTGTTGATGAGTGGAGGGAGGGGCCCCGCCCCGCAGGGCCTTGGAGAAGGTGTGCCGCGCTCGCCGCCCAGGGCGCCTCGGGAAAGGGCTGCGTCTGCCTTCAGCCCTGACGTGGATCTGCGGGTCGGGTCTGGAAGGTCGCAGCCCAGCTTTGCCCACTGGCCGTGATGCTGTCGTGTAGCAGATGAGAGCGGCACGCTGGCGGGGACGGGGCAGGCGGGGATGGCGGGCCAGTGTGAGCGCGGTGACCACGGTCCAGTGAATTTGTTTCCTGCGCGGTGTTTCTGGACTCTGCGAGGTGGTGAGCTGAGGGCAGCGCTCTGCTCCTGCCCCACGTGTTCGGGGGGAGGCGCGTTTCACCTGCGTAATTACTCAGGGGGTCAGGCGGTGTGACCTCAGACCCTCGGGCTCTTCCTCGGGGAACGGGCCCCGGTGCTGGTGCCCCGGGGTGGGGCTGCGTGGCTGCCAGCACCCCGGCTTTTCTCTCTGGCCTCATCGCCGTCTAGTTCCCGTGGGAGTGCGTCTCAGGCTGTGACGTGATGCATCAGGTGCTCCGTGGGGACCTGTCCTGTCCCGTGTGATCCCTCTCACGCGGATGGCGTGTCCTGGGAGCAGAGTAGTGCCCTTGACTGTGAACTTGTCTTTGCTCTGGTCGCCCTTGGCCTCCTTGATGTCCGCGGGACCCTGGCCACCTCACCACCAGCACGGGGTACGTGTGCGCTGACACACGGGCGGTCGGTCTCCTGGGGTAACAGAGGTCACTGTGCGCTCGGCCATCCAGGAACTTGTAAGATAAGCAGACTGACAGACAGCAGGGACTTTTCTCCCCCTGAGTCACAGCCGTGAAGCACACTCAGCATTCGTGGGTCACAGTGAGCACTTGAAAAGGGTAGAACAGAACCGAGAACGGTGGTGACAGCGCCGGAGTCCTTAGCTGTCCTGGGAGAGCTGCGGGCCTGCAGCATGGGTGCCCTGTCCCGCGGGCATTGCCTGTGGTTCCTCCGGAACACGGTGGCCCTTCGGTTACCACCCTTGTGGGAGGGTAACTGCCTGTCACACGAGGCACAGTCGCACTCCTTGGGGAGGGGAGCACAGAAGAATCGCATCTCTTGTCAGCAAAAGCCTTGAAACTTCCAGCCCAGGTTTGGTTACCAAATTTCAGTCCATTTTTGGAAAGGATTCTACTGCATGAGAACTTTTTTTTTTTTTTTTTTTTTTTTTTTTTTGCGGTATGCGGGCCTCTCACTGTTGTGGCCCCTCCCGTTGCGGAGCACAGGCTCCGGACGCGC